ACCTGTCTGGGGGGATTTCCTGTCTTGTCACCTGGACTTGCACCCCAGCACACGGTGTTATGTGATGGCGGGCTGATAGACACGCGTGTTGGCACGATGCGCTGGGAAGCCTTAGGAACACGTGTCATTGCATGCACACAGTGCTAACGTGTAACGGTATTCCCCGCCGTGTGAATGAGTCCCTCAGGCGGGTGCTGCAGAAGTGCGCATGTTGGGGTGTTGCTATCGTTCATTCTCAATGGCACCTCAGCAACACCCCTGTATTTTGGTGCAGCGCGTGACACATGGTAAGGAAGAGGAACCTTTTTTGTAGCACGTCGGGTGCTGATTCCAATGTTGGGGCGTGACAACATGTGGAGAAACGCAGGAAGTAAAGCATGTGAGCGCAGCCTGAGACATGTAACATACAGGAAGGTGAAGCGGCTCTTCCCAGTGCCGGTGGCGGGAACACGTCAGAGATATGTGCTGTGCTCTTCATGTCTGCCCCGTGTGAGTGTTAATTGATAAGCCTGTCAGGCGTGTTGGGTGTGGGGGACATGTACGGGGACACATGTGGGGGACATGTACGGGGACACATGTGGGGGACATGTACGGGGACACGTGTGGGGGACATGTATGCGGGACACATGTGGGGGACATGTACGGGGACACATGTGGGGGGCATGTACGGGGACACGTGTGGGGGACATGTATGCGGGACACATGTGGGGGACATGTACGGGGACACATGTGGGGGACATGTACGGGGGCACATGTGGGGGACATGTACGCGGGACACGTGTGACAGACCTGCCAGCAGAACAGATGTTGTGTTGTACCCGCCAGCCGGCGCCGGCCTCCCCCTGAGGAAGATTAATGGCTCCTTGTCGGCGTTCTGCGCTCGCCTCGTCCATGACATGACTTCTTCATGCGTGACACGAGTCCGCTGACAGCTGTGAACACGTAACCTGCTCCTCTGCAGACTATTAAAGGGGGACTCCCCTCCAATCCCTCATTACAGAGAGAGGCACAAGTGGAGGTTTTCATGGTGTTACTCACTCTAAACACCCTCCAGATGTGCTCAGGCAGAACAATGACCCTGAACCCCCTCTTCATGCTGTGGGGAGCCCCAATGTTCAGGATCCGTGTATTGTGCCGATACCGGAACTCTCCGTGGCTCACACCGCAGCGTTCAGACCGCAGCGTTCAGTTCCAGAGCATGTAAAAAAAAACTGCAGCAAGCCCTATTTTACCGCCTCTGGAACGCATGCAAACGCATATTTTAAACGTAAATCTTTTTTTTAAATCAAAAAACGGCCCCGAACGCATCCAAAACGCGGCACAACCCCCGACACTGCGTGTGCAGAAACTGGCGCAGATCTGCTCTGCATTCGGTGTGAAGAAGCCCTAAGGGAAGTGGATGATGATTTGCTACATTGTCTCATATAGAAGCGGGGCCCCCCCGTGCTTCGGGCCCCATTGCGGGATCGTGGATGCGTGCCGGCCGCTCTGCGTTGGTCACTCCGGCCCGCGGTGTAATCGCTGTATTGTGCAGCTCGTCGTATTCCATGGCGGGGGATTTGGGGGAGGATTCTGCAGCCGGTTGATGAATAATTAACACTCTTCGGTATTTATAGATCGCAGTCGTTTATGTTTATGTGCGGTAACGATTCCGCCGATCCGGCTCCGCGACGGTTAACCCATTGTGTGCCATATGCTCCCTTTAACCTTTTGATGTTTCTGTCGGCAGATTCGCTGATGCTTGGCGT